GGTGAAGGCACGATAGATATTGGAGCCGGTTCACCAAGTCCTTAAAGCCGCAGCTTCCCATTTTAAATTTTGCACCTTTGATCTCCTGCTTGGAGGCAGAGCTGGAAGAATATCGAAGACATTAGGACTCGGGACCCTGTGTGGGAGAAGGTTGAAGGAGAAAGCTCTTCTTAGTACCAGTTCTGAACCTAGGAAAAAATAGGGTTTTGACTTGCATGGTTAAGAGGAAGAGACTATAGTCCTGAAAGTGTGAGATAATCATATACATTTTTCTTCTTTTCCTTAAGTCTGTGGCAAATGGGAACTTGGGGATAGGACAAAAAGGAGCACTTCTGAGTGTGACATACCATGGCATTGCAGGAAATACTGGGTCAAGTGGTGTAATTTTTGGACAGGGACATTTATTTGCAGGAGGCTCTCATCCAATCTCAGATTTGTTGTCTTGAGTAAATCACTTGTCTTAATCTAATCCAGCACTCTGTTTTCCACACTGGCAATCCAAATATCTTTTCAAAGCTTAAGTGAAGGCGAATGCATTAATCTTCTCCATATTTTATGGCCTTAGTAAATTCAAACAAGTAGCGTTTTGTCCATGATATCTGGTATTCAGAGAGATGCAGTTGAACACAGTGTTTCCTTGTAGCTATGACAGCTGTTAGAAACCCTTTCATGGTGTGTGTGGAGTGGAGCAGCTTTGTTGGAAAAGGGTAAGGGAGGCCTGATGGGAGAAGTGGGAAATGTAGGCCAAAACTGTGGCTTTGGAGGTTGCAGTATTCTATGTAGGGAAAGGGTTAATAGGAAAACCACACAAATTTGCAAAATAAAATGATGTGCTAGTTTGTATTAATATAAACACATTTTTAAAGAATTTCTGTAATTTAAATAGATATTTAAAGGCATCTCACTATAGCTGGGCAGCTGACACAGTAACTTGCTCGTAATTAATTTGTGCAATTATTTTTAGTGTGTCAGTTATGAGTTTTGATCATGTTGACCATCTTCGAGATGGTTATCTTTGGTAAAAAGGGTAGGAAGATGAGATGTATGTGCCTAAAATGCATGCAGGCATGCATGAATAAAACACAACATAACTACTGGGCTTTCTAAGTTGACAATTATCTTTTGCAAATCATTGATTATCCGGGTAACAATTTCTCTAGTTCTACTTATTTTAATCAAAAGTAAAATCACAGCAAAGCAAATAGCAGGGACAAAGGGATACAGCAACCAGTGAAACTAAATGCTTCTCAAAAGCAAACAGGGAGGTATTTAATTGGCATATAACAGCTTAACATAGGTGCCTGTTGAAAGAAGTTGGACTGTTCAAATTTTTGGCTGCCACCAAAGAAAATGCCCAGTTTTTATGGCACATACACCTTATCTCCAGAGGTGGGGACTGCAACCTCTGCAACAAGGAATCTAAATATAGAGGTCGCTTCATCTAGGTGTAGGTGGTCTTTAAGATGCTCCAGACTCTGTTCATGACATTGTAGGTCAAAAACAACACTTTGATTTGTGCTTAAGTAGTGGCCATATTCCATACTAATTGAAGGTTTCAGCCTTCTAAGATAGCCCTACGTGTAATGTAGTGCAACAGTCTATGCTTGATGCATAAGGCATTTTCACAAAACAACAAGTCTAGGTTTCACCCCTGTTTCTAATAAGGTTATATTGCATTATACAATATATAGCAAGTTCTTTGAAAGGCTACAGTCTTAAAAAAATAGCTTTATTGAGAACAGAGGGACATAAAATGGGGGAAGGACGTAATAAAAGGTATGCTCACATCTATCAAAAGGGTCATATCTAGATATAGATTTATTGAGATATAGATTTATTTGAGATACAGATACAAGAAATGCTGAACGTTATTTTAATCTTCAGTTAAAAACCCATACCCACCCCCATACAAAATTAGTCAGGGATGGATTGGTTCATAGTATTTCCCCCTCAACCCATTTTAGCAAAAAAATGTTATTGGTTTATTGTAAAAAGCAAGTTTTATTTTTCAAAAAGCATTTATCACAGTTTAGCATACGTGTGGCTTGCGTTTCCAATAGGTTTGCCGTTGGTGTTGCAACTTCTTGTTTGTTAGGGTCAGAGAAATTGCACTAAAGATTTAAAATCAAGGACTGACCGTCCTAGATGAGAGAGAACATTAGATGTCTTTACCATACTCAAAGGGATTTTACCAGATGTGTGCAGCATTCTTTGGAGCGTTCCTAATAAGGAAAGTTTGCACAGTTACAGTGCAGTTCTGCATTTGAAGAGCCATGTGGAAGAGGATTTTCTTTGGAAGGAGGGGAAAGATAACCAACCACTCCTTGCACCGCTTCAAAACAACATTATGGAATAAGAAGCAGTTATAGATTGTGTGTACCTTTTTCCAGCATTCAGACTTATCTAGAATTTGGCAATGCTAAACTTGTTGAACTTACTCGGAATTCCAGTTAAGAGATTAATTTTCATTTCTTTCGATTCTTAAGATTTATGATGGTAGAAACCTGTGGCAACTAAAGTGATTGTAGGAGTTACAGTTTGGGCTGTCTCTAAGATACCTGATATATACACGTCTCCAGGAAAAAAATGTGCCTTTTTTCGAATAGGAGTTCTACAATGGATTAATCTTCATCAAGTTTGGTTTCATGAAGTTAATAAAGGACGACTGTGGAAAAGCAGATTTGGGTTAATGGGTAAGAAAATAGTTATGTGATTGTGGAGCACAACTGTATTGTAGTACTTTTGAATAGTAACTTGCTCTGTTTTAATTTTTACTTGCTATAGCTAACTTGGCAGAAAAAAACCAACCCTACCCAAACAACTTTTCACCATTCACAACATATTTCTTGCTTGGTAAGGGAAACAGCTCTACCTGCCACTTAGCAGGCTAAGAAGTCAACAAGCAGCGAGTTCTCAAATACCCTTTATTTTGTCTGTTTTCATGAGTTTGCATGTACTGCTAACAAGCCTGAGAGGGGCAAAACCCCTTCAATCAGCAGTGGTGTTGTGTAATTAAAGTCAATTATATGACTAGACTTAAGTTGGCTTGCCTGAAAATTGTTTGAAGTCTCTGATCACTTTTTATCATGTTTATAAGTGAACATACAAGCTCTGTAATGCTAGTTACTGAAAACTGTGTGGAGGGAAGTATTACGCAGACAATGTTTAAATGCAGTTAGCGCAACCAGTCAAAGGCAACATGGTGCCCTCCAGATTGTGTTGGAATCTAACAAGCAGCAGCCACAGACAACTTGGCCCAATGGTCAGGGATGATAGGTAATTGTAGCCAACAACATCCAGAGGGCACCATGATAACTACTACCCTGGCTATAGAAGCATATACTCAGTGGTTTTGCTCCAAATTTTATAAAGCAAACTAAAATGGATGGTCAGTTAATGACCTGTGATTTAACTGCTCTGTTTTCTGGCTCCTAGCACCCATGCTAAATGTTAAGGAGAATTGGCATGCCTTTGGTTTCACTCATAAAGAAGAGAAAATGTTTTACTGCTCCGAGAAACAGAAGTATTTCCCAACTTAATTTTAAATCTCTTTGAGATTTGTTATCTAATAACTTGGGCTGTGCCTGAGCCTGTATGTACTGCAAGTGCTTGCTAGTTGATGGCAGCAGCTACCTCCTAGTCTCCAGATCTTTGGAGATTAGTGTGAGCCCCCCAATCGCCATCCATGATCCGAATCTTCAAATTTATAACTTGTTGCAGAGCATAGTCCCAACTAAAAGTCGGTCATCTTTTGGCTCAGTCTCAAGAGTATCTCGTAACTCTAGCAATTGTTTCTGTTTTTCATAACAGTGGGAAATTTTATGGCTATTTTTTTCCTTCTCCCTGTCCAAAATAAATGCGCTGCTTAAAACAAAGAATGAAACTAAAGGGCACCATTTGAATTTCAGCACACCAACGATTGAAGATTGCAAAGGGCTTCCACTTGATCTGTCCTAATCATGTGTGACACTTTTCTAAAGAGAGTCCGAGAGCTCTGACATGGGAAAGGAATGAAAGACAGTCATTGGGAGAAATGCTTTCATGTTGGTCTAATGACTGTATAAAATGCAACATGTACATTCTTAAACCCTGGCAAGTAACTGATAAGTCTAAAGGGAGCTGTTAAGTATATGTGTGTCTAATTTCCAAGAAAAACTACATCCCTCTTTTTGCTTCCCATTCTACATGTTGACTGAATGCAGGGGCGGGGGGAGTAGGATCCCACTTCCTGGCCCTATTCCTTTGAACATTTAGCAAAGGGTGAGCATAGAGCTTCTATGTGCCTATAGCTGTAGGCACACAGATTCCACACATTCAGAATCCCTCTTATTGAGGGGCTCCTGATCATGTCGAAGAGTCTGCAAGCACACAGCTGTATGCATGGAGAGGCCTGATTTAACCTTCTGCTGAACTCACAAAGGTTGGGGTGAACACCTTTGGAGGTTGGCAGGGCCAACAGGTCTCTCAGCATGTGGAAAGAAGGATGGGAATAAGGTTAAAGTGTATCTTGAAACCAGGGAACAAAACAAATGTGTGCACCTGTGCTGTTCCCATTTTATGCTGGTCACTTATACAATTACCAGTAGGTCAGAAGTATTCCGATTCCTCAGTTGTTTCATTGGTTATATTTTACCCCCTGCTATTTAGTAAAGATTTGCTTTCAAAGTGGTATACAGTCATACCTTGGGTTACAGCTGCTTCAGGTTGTGTTTTTTCGGGTTGCGGACCGCCGAAACCCAGAGGTACCACAGCGGGTTACTTCCGGGTTTCGGCAGTCATGCATGTACAGAAGCAGATGCGGGTTGTGAACGCTGCCGGTTGTAAACATGCATCCCGCACGGATCACTTCACAACCCGAGCGTCCACTGTATAGCAATTACACTCCAGCATGTATGCATCTTAGGTGTGCCTTTTCTCATAGAATCATAATCATAGGACAGTAGAGTTGGAAGGGACCACAAGGGTCATCTAGTCCAACCCACTGCAAAGCAAGAATCATTTGCCCAATGTGGGGCTTGAACCCACAACCCTGAGATTAAGGTTCTCATGCTCCACCAACTGAGCTATCCAATCTGACTCTTGGCAGCTGTTGACATAGTCTAGGTTCCAGGCTGGGACAGCTGTCGGGGTGGGGAATGGGTTGCTGCTGGATTTGAGCTTCCTGATAGTAAAGCTGACAGTCCACGGAAATGGTCCCTGCATTAATCTGTGGTATGCATGGAAGTTGTTGACATAGTCGAGATTTAGACCATTGCTGATTTTATTTAGAATAGCAGACTAGAGTTAAAATGCTTGCGTGATACTTGATTTTAATTGCATTTGTAAACATAAGTTGATGTGTTGTGGGGTATACTCCTCCGGTGTATATTTAATAAGTAACATGACATAAAGACATGTCTATAATTTTAGACATCTCTTGTCCAGAGATGAGCAATATGGTCAGCTAAACTCAAGCATTGTAGTGTCATAAAGATACCAATGCTTTCAAAACTGAGGCTGTGACTATTTTCTTTTCACAGAGGTCTGCTATAGTTAAATCAAGCCTCAGAAATTAGGATACTGTTTGTTTTATTTGAATTTTCTGGGTTACTTATTTCACATTGCTACATTCATTGTTTGTCTACATGGCACGATTTTTAAAAAATAGTTTAATTGGATTATAATGGTAACAAGACACACAAAGGAAACAAAATAGGAGTCATTAGAGTTCAAAATAATAGGCAAAGAATCTATATACAACAAAGAGGATGTGTTATGAATATTGTATCAATTTAAGCATGAACTTTAGGGAGGGTTAATAAGAGGTCAGAACGTACATATATCCTCTCCATAGAGCAATTTGAGTCAATGGTTGACATCAGATATTCACATTTCTATTCACATAAAACAAAAAGTGCCCTCAGATACTATCAGATTTTTCTGCCCCCCCCCCCACGCCCTAAGTACCCTAAATACCCTCAGGACCACCCAGTCTACTGATATTAAGTAATGCCAGAGGTGGAATTGTGGAGGGGGTGCTGTCGTATAATAGCCTATAGTTTGGGCAATAACTCCATCCCAGTAAGTTTTCACAAAACAACATTCCCACCAAAGAAGTAACCCCTCCCCTCTCCACAACATCTCCAACAGAAATATTTGGATTTATGGTGTTTTAATTTAAGCAGAGTCCAGTGCCACCTATGGATTGTTTTTAAGGTTGCTTCTTGGATGCTTTCTGAAACTGATTTCAATGTCACTTTCCTCCACGTTGCATCCCACACACTATTTTAATATTTAAGGAGGTACCAGCTTCTTCAATAAGTACCTTACATGTTAGGTATTTCTTCCCTTTCATATTGCATCCATCCTGTGCACATACCATGTAAGGCATCTTCTCGCATTTTCCACCCTTAATTATTTTCATGCAAATAACTGGATTTGAAACATCTTTAACTAGGATGTGTGCGGAGGGTATCAGAAGAATGGAGCACGTTTTGTGCCATCAGGGGCTGGCCATCCTTGCGTAGGTCTAAAACTTGATAACTTCTTGCCTCCTCACATCTCTGAAATTTGTGGTATTCATCAGATGGCATGAGCAATCTTCAGATGAAACTGAACTGTTGCTAACATTAATAAATAGTGTGCCTATTGATTTTGTAAGAAATCATGTTTGGATTATAAGAGATTGAAGGATACTTTCTCCATTGCAGGAAGATTTTGTCTTACATGAATTTTGTAGCAAAGCCATTTCCGAGCTTGGGAGGAGAGGGGGTTGTGGGCTAACCCCTCCCACACACGCGGGGGCTGGCCTTTTGCCCCCGCGAGGTCCAGGGAATCCCCGGGCGTGTCTTCGACCCGGACCTGCCAATCGGCGGGCTGGGGAGGCGTGGCCTAGCCTACTTAAGGCCAGACACGCCCGGGGACCGCCCTCTTTCCCCTTTCCAGCTGAGCGGTTTTCCCATCCCACCCACCCTTAGGCTTAGCTAGCTATGACCTTGCTATGGACTCCGGTTGGTCGCCGCAAGGGGCCTGGTAGGAATTTTTCCAATTTGGCGCACTTTCAGCCTTTTGGTTTTTACGCCTACCTCGTAGCAAAACGTCACAACTTCCGCGGTATTGGCGGTTAGGCATTGGCAGGGGTTAATTGTTATGCAAATGAATGGGGGGGAAGGAAACGCCATCACCTTCCTCCAAGGAAAAGGGTAGTCTGGTAGAGGACTCCAGGGGGTGTTGCCTTGTCCGAAACCTAGGGAGGTAAGGGCCTCCGGCACGCCCCCGAGCGGTGACACCCGTGGGATCCTAGTTGGCGTACTTCAACAGGACCCCCACGGCTGGTGGATAACCCTTCCCGGTCTCCATGCCGGGTAGTCAATAGGAGCCAATGCCTAAGGCCAATACCTTTCAATTCTGTAATCAATAAAGTTGTGGCCTTTTTATGCCCATTAACCTTAAATAATGTGTCCAGTGTCTTCATTTCACATGGGGGAGGGGACTTGCCACGCAAGTAATACACTAAGCACAACTGTTTCATAGTGAATCTTAATATCAAGCTGTTTTCACACTTCCTTCATGCTCTTGGAATGCAACTGGGTTTATGTACATCCACCCCTTTACTATGATGTAAGCTTGTACAATGATTCAGCTACTCTTGTATGTATCTGATGCAGACATATACTGAATTTAAGTTTGAAGTATGTAAGTTGTATTTCTCTTGTGCATGTAAATTTAGCCTCTCCGTGGACAGAAGGCAACGTTCCTCATGGCGAAATGCTATGCAGAACTTATGAAAAGGGGTAGACAGACATAGAACCATAGAATTGTAGAGTTGGAAGGGATCCTGAGGATCATCTAGTCCAACCCCCATGTAATGCAGGAATACACAGCTGTCCCATATGGGGGTTGAACCTGCAACCTTGTCATTATCCGCACCATGCTCTAACCAACTGAATTATCCCAAAGTGGTTCATGAGCCATCTGAAAGATAAGAGAAAGTGAAAGGTCATTGAGTAATTGCCAAGTTTCTTAATACAGGAAAGGCTTGTTTCAGTGGATTATATTGACCCCATGGCTTTTGACCAAGGCAGGACATCTGTATTCAGTGACTAAAGTGCAGTCAGGAATCTTACTCAAGAACGGTAGGCTAGGGGGCACTAACATGGATTCAGTCCTTTAAAATGGACATCTAGCTTAGCATTACAGTCATACTTCAGGTTAAATATGCTTCAGGCTGAGCGTTTTCAGGTTATGCTCCGCAGCGACCCGGAAGTAACAGAATGCGTTACTTCTGGGTTTCGCCGCTCACACATGCACAGATGCTCAAAATGATGTCACGTACATGCGCGGAAGCGGCAAATCGCGACCCGAGCACGTGCAGACGCGTGTTGCGTTTGCTTCAGATGCGAACGGGGCTCCGGAATGGACTCCGTTCACATCCAGAGGTACCACTGTACTGCCTCCCAATTCAACCTTTAAATGAAATTGGATGCATTTAGTAGCACCATTTACATCCATTTCCTACCAATTTCTGCATGTTGCTCCATTTTCTTACCAAACCCCTGCACCTCACTCCTCCCACTCAGTAGGTTAGCAATAAGAAATCTGACCATGGGAAGACATTGTGTTAAAACGTTGTCCAGTACAATGTGAACAGGCTCCTGTACGTCCCACCTCACTGGCACCAGCTCCAAGGAGGCATTCAGAAACGTTCACTTCCTTTTTTAAAAAACAACAACTATAACTTGTTTCAACCAAATCAACAAACTGTGCTTATTATTAATTATGGTTGGATTAAAAGATGCCGCTATGAAGCCATTGCTTCTTGAGATACCCAGGGCTGACTAGGGACCTTCTGTCTGCAAAGCACATTTTCTCCCACAGAGTTTAGTTAAACAGATCCTTTGTGTTCTTCTTGAGAATGGGGATAGAGGGCAGTTCTTGTAACCAAGCTAGTCTTTCCTCTATTCATCAGAGGGAAGGCCTATGTTCCATAAAGGAAGGAAGATCTACAACTGGCAACTCCCCTTCAACTTCCCCCCATAATTAAGTTGTATTGGGACGAAATGAGCTTCTTGAACAAATGTTTAGAGTACATAATGTTTTTAGTATAATGAATCTTATTGTACTAGCTTGTGCCCTTCTTGTGAACGGTCTAAAGTTTTATGTTACTTTGGTTTGTTTTAATTCATTTAGTTTCTAAATAAAGCAGACAGCTGAAAATAAACATTTATTGCTCATCTCAGTTAGATCAGGAGATTCCAGTGTTCATAACATAGCATTTTCCAAAAATATTTTGACAGATATAGTCTTCACTAACATCATGTTAGAGTGGCCTAGGAGAGAATTTACTGCAGCAAAGTTAATACATGCTAGACTTCTTTGCACTACTGGTGGCAGGGATATATGAACCGTTACTGCTCCCTGGGCAAAAAAAATCCACTGTGGTCCTTTGTCTAAAGGCACCGTTTAGTTACCGTATTGGCCTGAATATAAGCCTCACTTTCCCCCCAAATTCTGACAGTGAAAAGTTAAAGTGCAGGTTATATTCATGACCTTACGGTATGCAGCCAGGAGTGCGGCAAAGTAGTGCCTGCCCCGTGCGTAGTCCCCTGTCCTCAACCCCAAGGCCAGGAAGGGAGAGAGTGAGGAAGGGGAAAGGCCGTCGGCGACGCAGCGCGACTCCCCTCACCCCCGGCTCCCAGTTTGCAGCCAGGAGCAGCAAGGATTCGAGCAGTTTATATTCGGGTATTTCTGGCGCTGTGGGTTAAACCACAGAGCCTAGGACACAGAACCTAGGCCGATCAGAAGGTCGGCGGTTCGAATCCCCGCGATGGGGTGAGCTCCCGTTGCTCGGTCCCTGCTCCTGCCAACCTAGCAGTTCGAAAGCACGTCAAAGTGAAAGTAGATAAATAGGTACCGCTCCAGCGGGAAGGTAAAGGGCGCTTCCGTGCGCTGTTCTGGTTCACCAGAAGCGGCTTTGTCATGCTGGCCACATGACCTGGAAGCTGTACGCCGGCTCCCTCAGCCAATAAAGCGAGATGAGCGCCGCAACCCCAGAGTCGGTCACGACTGGACCTAACGGTCAGGGGTCCTTTACC